TTAACCAGTGTGCTGCAGTCTAACCAGTGTTACAATTTAACTAGTGTGTTGCAGTTTAACCAATATTGCAGTCTAACCGGTGTTCAGTGTTAAAGTCTAACCAGTGTTACAAGCTAACCAGTGTGATGCAATCTAACCAATGTTGCAGTCTAACCAGTGTGTTGTAGTCTAACCAGTGTGTTGTAGTCTAACCAGTATTGCAGTCTAACCAGTGTGTTGCAGACTAACCAGTGTGTTGCAGTCTAGTGTGTTGTAGTCTAGTGTGTTGTAGTCTAACCAATGTGTTGCAGTCTAGCCAGTGTGTTGCAGTCTAACCAGTGTGTTGCAGTCTAGTGTGTTGTAGTCTAACCAGTGTTTTGCAGTCTAGTGTGTTGTAGTCTAACCAATGTGTTGCAGTTTAGCCAGTGTGTTGCAGTCTAACCAGTGTGTTGCAGTCTAGTGTGTTGTAGTCTAACCAGTGTTTTGCAGTCTAGTGTGTTGTAGTCTAACCAATGTGTTGCAGTCTAGCAAGTGTGTTGCAGTCTAACCAGTGTGTTGCAGTCTAGTGTGTTGTAGTCTAACCAGTGTGTTGCAGTCTAGCCAGTGTGTTGCAGTCTAGTGTGTTGTAGTCTAACCAGTGTGTTGCAGTCTAGCCAGTGTGTTGCAGTCTAGTGTGTTGTAATCTAACCAGTGTGTTGCAGTCTAGTGTGTTGTAGTCTAACCAGTGTGTTGCAGTCTAGCCAGTGTGTTGCAGTCTAGTGTGTTGTAATCTAACCAGTGTTTTGCAGTCTAGTGTGTTGTAATCTAACCAGTGTGTTGCAGTCTAGTGTGTTGTAATCTAACCAGTGTTTTGCAGTCTAGTGTGTTGTAATCTAACCAGTGTGTTGCAGTCTAGTGTGTTGTAGTCTAACCAGTGTGTTGCAGTCTAGCCAGTGTGTTGCAGTCTAGTGTGTTGTAATCTAACCAGTGTTTTGCAGTCTAGTGTGTTGTAATCTAACCAGTGTGTTGCAGTCTAGTGTGTTGTAGTCTAACCAGTGTGTTGTAGTTTAACCAGTGGTGCAGTCTAACCAGTGTGTTGTAGTCTAACCAGTGTATTGTAGTCTAACCAGTGTGTTGTAGTTTAACCAGTGTGTTGTAGTTTAACCAGTGTATTGTAGTCTAACCAGTGTATTGTAGTCTAACCAGTGTATTGTAGTCTAACCAGTGTGTTGTAGTCTAACCAGTGTATTGTAGTCTAACCAGTGTGTTGTAGTTTAACCAGTGTGTTGTAGTTTAACCAGTGTGTTGTAGTCTAACCAGTGTGTTGTAGTCTAACCAGTGTGTTGTAGTTTAACCAGTGTGTTGTAGTCTAACCAGTGGTGCAGTCTAACCAGTGTGTTGTAGTCTAACCAGTGTATTGTAGTCTAACCAGTGTGTTGTAGTCTAACCAGTGTGTTGTAGTTTAACCAGTGTGTTGTAGTTTAACCAGTGTGTTGTAGTTTAACCAGTGTGTTGTAGTTTAACCAGTGTATTGTAGTCTAACCAGTGTGTTGTAGTCTAACCAGTGTATTGTAGTCTAACCAGTGTGTTGTAGTCTAACCAGTGTGTTGTAGTCTAACCAGTGTGTTGTAGTTTAACCAGTGTGTTGTAGTCTAACCAGTGGTGCAGTCTAACCAGTGTGTTGTAGTCTAACCAGTGTATTGCAGTCTAACCAGTGTGTTGTAGTCTAACCAGTGTGTAGTCTAACCAGTGTGTTGTAGTTTAACCAGTTTGTTGTAGTCTAACCAGTGTTGCAGTCTAACCGGTATAGCAGTCTAACCTGTGTGTTGTAGTCTAACCAGTGTTGCAGTCTAACCAGTGTATTGTAATCTAACCAATGTGTTGCAGTCTAACCGGTACTGCAATCTAACCGGTATTGTAGTCTAACCAGTGTGTTGTAGTCTAACCAGTGTTGGTTCAACCAGTGTTGTAGTCTAACCGGTACTGCAGTCTAATCGGTATTGTAGTCTAAGCAGTGTGTTGTAGTCTAACCAGTGTTGGTTCAACCAGTGTTGTAGTCTAACCGGTACTGCAGTCTAATCGGTATTGTAGTCTAACCAGTGTGTTGTAGTCTAACCAGTGTTGGTTCAACCAGTGTTGTAGTCTAACCAGTGTTGGTTCAACCAGTGTTGTAGTCTAACCAGTGTTGGTTCAACCAGTGTTGCAGTTTCGTGTTGTCGTCGAGACAGTCTCGTAGCTGAACCATCATGACATTATTATTAATAAAAATCAAAACCAAGCGCTAAACCCACAAGTGTCATTCAGCGCTGTCCATCCTCGAGCCTCTCTAAGCATCAACTTGCACCAAAACCTTAATTCGATCAATTGTTGATCAAATTTACGTGTAAAAGATAGAGTGGAATACAGCCAGAAAAATCTGAGTTGAAGAAATAGTTTATTGTGACGAGATAGTTTGTTTGAGGTTGATGGGATGGAGGGTTCTTGGTCCAAGAAATTGGATCCACCTTCCCCTTCCTTGGATCGAACCAGAGCGCCTCCCATTCTCCCAGGCGCTGTGTGACCCCTACAGTTTTAGCACCACCCCCGCCCCTAAAAGTATATAATGTACTGGGAATAAGACGAGAGTTTTTGTCAGCGTTTCAGTTCTCTGATTTTTGTTTGGACTTTGAGAAGACCCGTTTATTAAGTTGGGTAATGCTGCTAGCATCAATAATATTGCTATTCAAACTTACTATTGGTGATTATAGTCTGTGTAAAAGTGTTAATGAATTTTTCTGCTAACGTTGAGTGGATGTTTTTGTGATGGATGTAAAGTGATCACATTTTGTTTGAAATTTACCTGATGGGGAATTCGGCTATTAAACAGAGCGACCGTGAGAGCTGTATGCTTTTCCCCTCTTTAAAGAATCCATCTCTCTCTCTCTCTCTCTCTCTCTCTCTCTCTCTCTCTCTCTCTCTCTCTCTCTCTCTCTCTCTCTCTGATTGCTGCTCCCCAACATCTGAGGTGTCAGCCTAGAACACTAGAACACAAACTCTTACCTCGCCTAGTTGTGGGTCACTGACGCGATCGCCAGTTATAATTGCTTGATAACCAGGTGTAAACGAAGGGCGTAATTGAAGGTCTCTGAGAAATGATTAGATAACTCTACTTAGCAAGAACGTGAGTTGTTGCAGGGTGGGAGCAGGTCGTTGCAGCGACGCGGAAAATTGTAGCAATAAGCTGGTCGGCAATTGCATTGATTTGTTAAGTAGTTACATCGGCCCGGAAGGTAATAGAAAAGTACATTGCTGTCATACCACTATATAGTTGTTATTAACCGTTAGGTAGTTATAATAGATGGCCAGATGTTATGCATAGTTCGGCAGTTG